TATTTTATTGATGACTCACAGTAGCCATCATGTGCCTTATATGAGATTTGATTTTTCTCATACCCTCAGTGTTAGTTTGTCAGCAATCTCTCACTTATTGTATTATATTGGCCCTAAACAGCTTCATTCCCCGTTCAAATCATCCGTCCTGCCTCTACCACTCTCCCTGCCCTTTTAGTTTATAGTTCCTAATCTCCTGTGGCCTTAGAAAACTTACCTGAGTCAATAAGGTAGTGAGTGAACCTAATGCAAGTAAATAGTCAATGACATTTTAAGATCTCCAACTTGGCCTGGTTGCACATGCTTGCAATCTCAGCACTCCTGAGGCTGACGCAGGAAGACTGCTTAAGTGTGAGGCCAGCCACAGCTATCTGACAAAACCCTGTCAAAAAAAAGACCTCTCCAGAAAAGTAGCAAAACTGTTAAACTGCTTGAGGCTTGAGTTGATGTAAGGACAGAACAGGTGAGAAGGTTACATAGGTATAAAGAATTTCAGAGATAAGTATGTATTTGACGTTGAAAAAGATCCTTTCCCCCGCCCCCTACTAGATCTTTCGTATATGAGAAAAATACAGTTCATTGATAGGCTTACTATTTCAAGGAAAAGAAAAAAATGTATAAGAATAGTCCTCTTGTTTTCCTCCAAATGATATTCCAAAAAGGCATTTTAGTCTTTACTGTAGAAGAGTACTGTTCACTGAGGGTTTTATTAAAATTTTAACACTCTGTTTTCCATGTTGGTGCATACCTGTAATCTTGCCACTTGGGCGGTTGAAGCAGGAGGATTGTGAGTTCAAACCAGCCTGGGCTACATTATCCCTGACTTGAAAAGAACATGTAGGTTCTGTACTTTTCTGCTGGTGATTTAAGACAGGAGACGCAGATAGAGACAGAAATTAGGGAAGAGCAGCCATGATCATGTTAGTGATAAATGGATAATGAAGTACTTGATATAAAAGAGTTGACTGGTTAGTGCGCTTTATTAAGAAGAAAGGAAAGCTGGATGCATAATGCAGTAGAAATCAACAGTGTAAGTTGCAGGATATTGGTTCCATGGAGGGGGGCTTCTGCTTCCTAGAGATTGTGTATGAAATTTTGGAAAAGAGTGAATTCATGGTTAGAGATTTAGTTTTGTATTTGTTACTCTCTTTCTGAAGTGCATGTTGTGCTTGGGTGTGATGAGGGGACTGAGATGATCCAGCTGCACATGTGTTTAAACAGGAAAGGAAAGAGTGTGCTTGAGTTTCACAGACCATTTTGAGGACCTGTGTACAGTTGTTCCTAGAAAACAAGATAGGACATAGAAAATTGAAAATGTAGATGTTTTCAGACAGGAAATATCATCTAATACAGGTACCTGCTCTTATGTGAGGTAGGTATAAAAAGCGAGAATGGACTTGGGAAGAAGAATGTGATCCTAGAACTCTGGAAAGCTGTGTTCAGCACTTTACTGTAAAGGGAATACCCATACGGTTTTTCAGTGCTTTTCTTACAGAATAGATATAAGTCCACAGATGAACTGTTTATCAGGAACTTTCTTAAGTATTAATTTTTTGCCTTGCTTGTGAAAATAGTATGTACTATAGGGAGTTTTGAAAAATAAGAAAAACTCAGATGTCATTTTTGGAAAAAAAATTACGAATTGTAAGTATATATGCAATTACCTTCCTTTTCTTTTTATATATAGTATTTTTCCCTCAACTCACATTCCTCATTTTCTAGATCTAAAAGAACTCAGGCAGAGACCATCAAACTGAAGCGGATCCAGAAGGAGTTACAGGCTTTAGATGACATGGTGTCAGCTGACATTGGAATCCTCAGGAACCGAATTGATCAGGCAAGCCTAGAATATTCTTATGCACGGTGAGTTGAAAACTGAACTCTTAATAGTCTGAGGTAATTACTGTTTGCTAGCTAGGTTAGTAGGTTTTAGGTATGCCATCAATAAAGTCTCATGGACACCTCATTAAGCAATGTGCTCATTCAGTTGGCTGCCTGCCATACCACTTAACATTGTTTAAATTCCTATTAGAGTATTTCTTAAATGATTTATTTATGTTTTAGTCTTTCCTGATGAACCTTCAGCTAGTTAATGTTTGGGATGCCCAGTCTTTCAGGCTCTAACAAACTACACGCCTGACTGACTGGCCACAGAACTGTATTATTCTAACACCAAATCTATGCTCCTTCTCTTAAAACCTTTGATTATTTGATATGGCCTTCATAGAATTGGAGCCAGATTCTCACTTTAGTTCTCATCAAAGTAAGAAAATCTTGTTTATTTTGTGAAAGCTTTGAACATAAGCCAGGAACGGTGGTACGTGCCTGTAATCCCAGCACTGCGTGGAAGCTGAGGCAGGAGAATCACTGCCAGTGTTGATTGCTTAGTGAGACTCTGTCTAGAAAAAGAAAGAAAAGAACACTTGTGAATGTTTTCTTAAATACCTCTTTAAGAATCATGAAGTTTGTTTTTCCCTTTTTGTTTGATTATTCTTTGTACACAGTGGTTTGTACACATTCGTTTTCTTAGTTTCAACGACTGGCATTATTATAAAGAAAAAAATTATTGTGGAATATTTTTAAAGTGAACAAACACATGTAAAGAATTACATGGGCTTTACAAACAGATAAAAAGGCAAAAAAAAAAAAAGTTCAGTTTCAGGGTTCTCAGTCCCTTCAGCATTGCTTTAATCATCCTGGTTTGTCTTTTTTCACAGGGAAATGCTGTGCTAATGACTCAGCTTTGCATCTTTCTCTGTAACACTAGAAATCAATCAGAATGCTTCATTAATCTAGGGTAAACCACAGCATCAGAATGTTTATATAACAACTTAATAAAGCGGAAATGCTTGATGATAGTTTTTAATTCGCTGTTTAGTGTTTAAGAAAGAGGTTTGTGGTTGGCCTTGTAATTTTGGTAATTGCTGTTTGACTATATGCTGTGAGACATAATAGGTTTCCTTTTCTCAGCGCATGGCCTAAATTAATGTCATCAGTAGCTGATAAGTTGAAGGTCCCGATTTCTGTCAATGCAGTTGCTCAGGAGGTAACCAAGATTGTGTTACAAGTAAACTCAGCCTTGCTTTTTTAGCACGTTTTATTCTTTCCAACATGAGTTTGCTAGAGAGTCATTTTTACACCTTTTATACAAATAATTCATAGCATTGCCTACAGTGCTGGGTACTAAAGGAAAATAGTCTGGTTGTGTTTTAATTCTGTGCTAGTGTAGGCTAGAGAAAGATTCCATTTTTCACATTGAATATTATATAGGAATTATCAGTTTTAGCCTTCAGAGAACTATAAGCAAGTTAGAATTACCGATTCTTACTGAAATTTTAGGGAATTCTTACTAAGTAAAGATAGGTGCTTTATATCCTATATGCTTATATCTTTAATAATCTGAATATATCAGCTTTGCATGGTGCTGTTACTGACAAAACTGTGTACATGAATGCTGATATGTGAGTCTGATTTTAAAAGCCTAAGCTCCTCAGGTAAGTCAAAGGTGCCATAAGTTTGTGTCTGAAGCCAGGACTGTGTCCTTGTTCATGCATAAGTTTAAGGCAGAATTTTCTAAATTGGCATTTATGAGTATTGAGGAATTGCAAATAGCACAGTGATTCAGGATAGGAAATAGAGGTCAATGTCGAGCACTTGCCTAGCATGTGCAAGATATGGGTTGTAATCCCCAGCACCTCAGATAATAAAAAAATAGTGTCCAGAGTTTTACTGGAAGGTGATCCTTAGGACACTTAGTTTCTGTGGGAGATTTCCTTGAATTATTTATTTATTTATTTTTTTAGTAAGAAATAATGGGGCTGGAGAGATGATGCAGCAGTTAAGAGTACTGACTGTTTTTGCAGAGGACCGAAGTTCAGTTCCTAGCACCCACATGGTGGCTAACAACCTTCCCTAACTCCAATTCCAGGGGATCCGACACTCTTCTGGCCTCTGCAGGCACTGTATACATAAATGTGCTTATACATGCAGGCACATGAAGTAAATATACATAAATAACTCATACACATAAACAGATTTTTTTTAAAGAACATAATGTCTTCATTCTGTAGTGCCTGGTTCAGTGCTATCCACAAATGTTCATATGTGGTAAATAGTCAGCATTTCTTTAAAATGGGCATGTATAAAGCAACCTTAGACTAAGCCTGCCCCTGCAGTCTCGAGATAGCTGTGCTGTTGCTGCTGTGCACAGCTGTAACTGTAGCATCCCCATGTGCTAGGCAGACCACTTAACAGCCCTGGAGGTGTCTGTATATAGAGCACTTGTTTGAACCTTTGTTATGCTAAGAAAAACAATAACTATTTATCATTTAGACTTAACTTCACACTTTCATATGCACACATACGCACATATACAGAAGTAATTTAAAATTTTTTAATTGAATTTTTGCAGTTTTCATACAATATAATTTGATGGTATTTAGATCCCCTCCCTTATGCCCACCTCTCCTTATTGTCCCCCTACCCAATTTAATGATTCTACATGTATATGTATAATAAGGCAGATAAGAGTCTAATTTGTGTCTCTTAATGACCTTCAGTGTGAGTCCATCTATTGGAACCTGTCTAACCTACCAAAAGTCTCATGTCTCTGCTCCTCCCAGCAGCCATCTTCTGCCACAATTTCCTTAGGTGGGGTTGGAGTTTCTTACCTAAGAAGTAAATCATTTTTGAATAATTTATAAAAGTAAGAATAACAGATTGTAGAAAATACTATAAGAATGTAAGGATAGTAAATGTCTTTTGTTGTGAGTCTTGTTTGAGTTACAAACATGGAAAGATGAGAGATTATCATTACATCTTTAAGGAGTACTAGAATTTCTTCCTTTGAAATAATTGCATGAGGAAATCATATTTCCTTTTTATGTTTAGAAATTTATTTTTCATTCATTGTTTCATTTGGATGGGCTATTCTGAAGACTTAAGAATTTGACACTTCACATGCATGATCAGTTTCACCACCTAAACTTGACACCATGGTCCCTGCATTGTTAGTTTCTTAGGACTATCATAGCAAATTACCACACGCTGTATGACTTCAAACATCAGAAGGTCCCTTCTCTCACATTTCAGACTAGAAACCCAAAGTAAAGGTGTTAGCAGGGTTGTGCTTTCTGTGGGTCCCTCTGGTTTGATTACTTGTCTTTTCTAACTTTTGATGGCTGTATGTATTCCTTGACTTGTGGCCTCAGTTCTGCATTCTATGTTTCCACAGTCACATTTCCTCCTGTATCTTCTTTTCTGTCTTCTCTATTCAAAGGTTACATGTGATTGTATTTAGTATCCAACAGGGTAATTCAGAAGACCTCTTAAAATGCTCAGCTTAAATCACATCTGTTCTCCTATAAACTAATTTCATATAAAGTAATACTCAAAAGTTCCACAGATGAAGAAATATTTGGGGCTGGAGAGATGGCTCAGTTGTTATTTCCCAGCACCCACATCGTGACTTAACCATTCAGAACTCCAGTTCCAGGAGATCCCATGCCCACTTTTGGCCTCTGTGCATATACTTCCATACATGCAGGCAAAACACTCGTACACATACCAAAAAAAAAAGGATCTCTGGAGTCCCAGCCCACCTGGAAGTCACTATATGAACCACACTGGCCTCATTCTCACAGAAATCCACCTGACTCTGCCTCCCAAGGGCTGGGATTAAAGCAAAAATTTTTTTAATTAAAAAAATAAGTAAATATTTTGAGGAGGCTGTTTGAGCCGACTACAGTGTTCTTATTTAAATTTGTCTAACAGCGGCAAAATGTCTTTGTTCATTTTCTCTATTTCCAATATATGCGATAAATAAAAAAATAGTTATCAGTTGTGTTCAGTGAAAACCAAGAATAAAGAATAAGTTGTGAAGACAACAGTACTACCTACCCATTCTTGGGGAGAAAGCAGTGCAGAGCTAAGGCGATAAGTGATTTCATTCTTGTGACATCCTTGTACATCATTCTGGCATTCTCTCACTTTTAGTTTTTAGCATAAATAAGAATGAGTTATGAAAAACTCCTAGAGTAATGAAATAACAGAATATTTCAAGAAAGGAAAAAAATATCTCTAATCTATGGTTTTAAATAAGTATTTGTTCTTTAGAGACTTCTAAGAAAGGACAAAAGTCATATGTTAACCCATCCAAATAGTTTAAACTACTCAGAAAAGAGACCATAAAATGAAAAGTGGATCAGTGGGAGTTGATGACATTCAAAGAGTTAAACATTGAATTTTTTTTAAAAAGTTGATAACCAAAACCAAGAGACAGTTTTTAATATCTTTAAATAACATTAAATCACTTTGTATCCTCTTGAAATAACAAAACAATTCTGTAATTACATTTCCAGTTCTTGCTGTCTGATGTGTAATGCCCGTCTTCTGTTCCAGAGTGTCTTCATATTAGCCAAGGAGACCCCCGGGCTAATCATGTAGTTTGTGAAACTAATCAATATTTTAAACATAAATCACTCTGTCAAGGAAGATATGTGCATGTTTCTGGCTAGAAAGACTTTAAATAAATAAACAAAATTTGACATCTTAAGTGATTTATCTGGGGTGAAAGACCAGTGGAAACCAGGGACCCAGTTACAGATGTTAATTTCAATTCAGTATTCATGAACCCAGCCTGTAAATCTCTGCTGACTGATTGAGGGATACTGCAGCTGTGGAGAGAACAGAATTTTGGGAAAGGGAGAAGGTATTCATATATCTGTAATGTCAGAGTGAGCTCTTGACTTGACGCAAGAGCATTCATAAGCAGGGTATTATGTTACTGAGTGTGGAAATGAGGGACCCAGGTACCAACAGTTCCTTTAGCATAACATCTTTTAGCTTAGGAAGTTATTGAAAAACATTTTTAACATTTATTAGGTGACAGTAAAAAAGAAGAAATGATAAATGAGTACTATGTAAGTAGCAATTTTCAGTTATAACATCAGACCCCCTAAATTTTCTATAATTGCAATTTTAGATACATGTCACTGATACGGTAATTTCTTATTCAGATGCTCTGAAGGAGAAAGTCTGTTTCTCAGGCACTGGGCAAGATTCCCATGCTGAATCTTAAACCATGGGTCAGTGTGACACTGCTAGCCATCACTTTTACAGACAGACGCAGAACTTGGCTAAGTAACTGCCGTAGTTGCTGTACTAATTTTCAGTCATAGGAGGCCTTTTCTCCAACCTGTCTGCAGGAATCTAAATATTTCATTCAGGTGTTGACCCTGGTGGCCACCTGGTACCCACTCCAGGACATTCACAGACTAAACATTGGCTCTTGAACACTGTTTAACTGAGATGAACTGGGCTGACCCAGGCTCTCCTTTTGGATCATAGCAAGATTGAGCAGAGTGAAGCTAATATAGAGACCAGCTCGTAGCAGGACTGGTCTGTGAGTGAGAGAGGAAAGCTCAAGTAGGAAAAGTGTGACTTCTAAGCACTGAAGAGCATAGCCGGTGATTCTGATGACATGCCTCTGACACTGCCTCTTATATCCTGCAGGGAAAGTATTTTCCTCTTCCTTAGCTAGTTTGGGTAGAGAGCTCAGATTTGTTCCCTATATCCTATGGTCAAACTTGAATACATGAGGAATGACCACAAAGTTTTGAACCTTTAGTTCTCTGAAGCTAAAGCCTTTTAGGATTTTCACTGTATTTCCTGCCAAGATAGAGAATTTTACATTATGAGGTAATTTTTTTCTTTTTCTTATTTGCTATAACTCATATAGTTAAAGCTGTTTATTGCATTTAGTGAAATTAAATAGACCATCATAACTGGTAAGCCAATGTGGCCTTCACAAGTATTAGTGGTAAACAAATTGAAGAACTAGTTGACAAATTGGTATTTCTTTTCTTTCAGGAGAGGAAGAAACTTTCTACTTTGTTGTCAAAAAGAAAAGTAGCACATTACATAGAAAGTGACTTTAGTTTTTGTACCTATCTAATGCAAAAGGGAAAAAAAAGATTTCAGGTGGCTTCTCCCCTAAAATTATCCTACTTCACAGAAGACTGGCATTACTCGTCTGTATGGCTTGTGTATGTGGTGATAGGTGAAATGTTTTTCTTTCTCTCTTTTTTTTTTTTATTCTGAGGATTGAACCCAAGGGCTCATATGCTACACAGTTACTCTGCCACTGAGCTGTATCCCCAACCATAAAATCCTTTGTATGTGTAACATCAGTCTTCTGTTAACTAGTATAGACCAAGAACAACTTAGCCCAGAGATTTTCAGCTAGGAGCAATAATATCCCTCAAAAAGATGTCGGCAATGTCTGGTTTTTTGGTTGTCACAGCTAGTAGGTGGTTCTGGCAGCTAATGGATAATCCCAGTAATGCTGTTCAGAACCCTACAAGTACAGGGCAGCTCATTACAAGAAATAATTGTATGTCAGTTTTGACATTGTCAGTTTTGACATTGTCAGTTGTGACATTGTCAGTTTTGACATTGTCAGTTGTGACATTGTCAGTTTTGACATTGTCAGTTGTGACATTGTCAGTTTTGACATTGTCAGTTGTGACATTGTCAGTTTTGACATTGTCAGTTGTGACATTGTCAGTTTTGACATTGTCAGTTGTGACATTGTCAGTTTTGACATTGTCAGTTGTGACATTGTCAGTTTTGACATTGTCAGTTGTGACATTGTCAGTTTTGACATTGTCAGTTGTGACATTGTCAGTTTTGACATTGTCAGTTGTGACATTGTCAGTTTTGACATTGTCAGTTTTGACATTGAAAAGTCCTGCCCAAACTGATGTGGTGGTTTTCTGTTCTTCTTGATCTTTATTTACATCTTGGCCCCACTTAGCATCATTGTCTTGAGTGTGCTCTGTCCTATTTATGTTCACCCCTTCATCAAGATATTTCTTTTCTGATCCATTAATTAGAAATGCAGATGTTCTCTCCGTCTCTTGTTTTGCCTCTCATAAATTTAACCACTTGTGTGCCAGAGCTAGCGTGTTCCAGAGCATGAACTAGAACTAGCATGTGCCAGAGCTAGTGTGCCAGAGCTAGCGTGTGCCAGAGCTAGTGTGTCAGAGCTAGTATGCTAGAGCTAGCATGTCAGCTATTGTGCCAAAGCTAGTGTGTGCCAGAGCTAGCGTGTTAGAGCTAGTGTATGTCAAATCTAGTATGTGTCAGAGCTAGAATGTTAGAGCTAGCATGTGCCAGAGCTAGTGTGCCAGAGCTAGCGTGTGCCAGAGCTAGTGTGTGTCAAAGCTAGTATGTGTCAGAGCTAGAGTGTTAGAGCTAGCATGTGCCAGAGCTAGTGTGTGTCAGAGCTAGTATGCTAGAGCTAGCGCATCAGAGCTAGTGTGCCAAAGCTAGTGTATGCCAGAGCTAGCTTGTGTCAGAGCTAGTGTGCCAGAGCTAGCGTATGTCAGAGCTAGTGTGTTAGAGCTAGCTTGTGCCTGAGCTAGTGTGTGTCAGGTAGCATGTGCCAAAGCTAGTGTGTGCTAGAGCTGTCTTGAGTTAGCTTACAAGAGTAGGTGTTGCGCATCTCTTCCCATTTCTCCCCAATTCTTCATTTAGTGATGTCATGTGAGTAACTTGAATTTAGCCAAAGTGGTAATATTTATACCACACAACCTGGCATACTCTACAAATCTGAGCTCTCTGTCCTCCACCCTCTCCTAGAGATAGCAGACTACTAAGTTAACTCTTAGCCTACTTTCATTCAAGCACAGCTTTATTTTAGAAGGAAGTACAAAACAACATTATCAGCAATAAATCCAAATAAGGATGTTATGAAAATGGTAGCATCAATAGCCTATTTTAGCTCATGCTGTTGGTAAAGTGTTGGTATCCATATCTTCTCCCATTTTGGAATCTTCTTCTCCCATTTTGGAATTTGTTTCTGACTCTTGGATATGTTTTCAATTGAAAGCTAATGAACCAGTCTTTGCGTCTGTCCTGATAGGAAGCGGTTTGACAGGGCGGAGGCTGAGTACATCACAGCAAAGCTGGATCTACAGCGCAAGACTGAGACAAAAGAGCAACTCACTGAACACCTCTGCACGATCATACAACAGAATGAGCTCCGAAAGGCCAAGAAGCTGGAGGAGCTGATGCAGCAGCTGGACGTGCAGGCTGATGAGGAGGCTTTGGAACTGGAGGTGGAAGTGGAAAGATTGCTTTATGAGCAGGAGGCAGAAGCAGGGAAGCAAGTGGTCCCTGGAGAAAGGTTGTGTCAGCCTGCTGGCGGGCGTGTCTCTTTAGGATTTGCTGAAGAGATCAAAAAGCCTCAAGAAAGACAAGCTTCTTCTCCAGAGGTAGACAGGCAGGGGGAGCATTCCAGTAGTGCTCCTGTTACACTCAGCTGCCCAAATCAAGGACCTAAGACCTTTTCAGCTGCTCTGGCCACATGACAGGTGGTGTTACCTGGTCTCTGATAAAGCTAATTTAAAACTGATTGTGTTTGAATCCATGATTAGTTTTAGTAGGTTAACATGTTTGATCATTCCAAAGTTCCAAATTTGGTAATTTTATATTTAGGGGGACATTTCACCTTGATTCTTCCATGTTCCTTGAATTCTTATTAATGCGTTAATACAAGTAACTGAAAAGGTTGGAAGAGCCTGCAGCCCTGGGCTTCGTCTCCAGCACTACAGAAAGCAGAGTGGTAGAAGGAAAACTGCATGGCTAGAGTGTTTTTAGCAGGTAAACACAGAAAAACAAAGTGAAAAATAATTTTCAGTACTTAAACTCATTTAACTTGTGGGAGAAGTGTGAAGAATGCATGGTCTTACTTATATAATCATTGGAAAGACAGAAATTACTGTGTAAAACAGACAAGAAGAGGAAAAAAAGGTTAAATTCTCTGCGTGTTACTCAAGTTACTAAACACAACTTGAAAACTACAACTAATATAAGGAACTAGACAACTTAATGCCACATTATTTTTGCCTTTAAGTGGTTTCTTGTTTAACCTGAATTTTGGATAGCTGATGTACATACACAAATAAGCTGTATGTTACTTTCACAGTATTCTGCTTTCTGTAATTGGTGAATTGATCAGTGAACTTCAGACAACAAAAGCATTTCTAAAGTGAGGATAAAAATGATATAGAGAACTCACCTATTGCCACTTTTGACTATCAAACAATGATGTGCTTCCTTTCTGAAACTCTGTAAAATAGATATTTTATGTACTGGATCTTAATTATCCCACTATAAAGCATTTAGATTGTTAAAATGCTCGTTATTACTTTAATAATTTGTTCATGATACTTGATCACTACATTGTGCTTTATGTGAATGTATATATAAATATTGTAGTTTTGTCACAAGATCTACCAATATTATCTTAAATATCTGTCAGAAATTACAAAATATAAAAAATACGTTTTTAGTCAAAACAAAATGAAATAAAGGAAATGACAGTTATATCAGTAATAGTTTAGAGAAAAATTAGGGATATCCTATTTTTAAATTGGTTTCTTTGAAGATTATCTTCTGGTAATATGGATGAGCTTTGTAGTTTTTTATAACTTGAGTTGCAAGTATAGCTTTCCATTACTGGCTTCTCTAAACACAAGCATGGTAGGTCATGCTGCTTTTATTTATGTATGACATACATACAAATTGTAAGCTTCGTATTGCACAAGACACTCTTATTTTTCTAAGAAATAAACAAGTCTGATGTGTTTACAATATGGTCCTTCATTTACCTTGAAAAAAAACTAGTTTCAAAGAGTTTAATATATGTTCTTAAGCAGAGAGTGTTTGTCAGTAATGCATTTTGGATGTTGTAAATTCAATTAACTACTTTTTATGAGGTTCTGTTAAGAAAATTCATTAACAAACGAGGTCCTGTAATATTGCTTAAATACAGGCTTGTACAGTCTTAATTTTCAAAGTGCTTAGAAGGTCTATAGAGAAATGTATAGAGAAATGAGAATCATGAAAGAACTGTTCTACCCACCACACCGAGTACCGTTCTGCACCTCTGTTACATTGTCTGCCTGACTCAGGCCATGAAGTTCACTGCATCTATTTCCCTAAAAATTTGCTTTATAACTCCATTTGGTGTGTGTGTGTGAAGTGACTTCAATTATGCTATAAAAGGTCCTAACTCCATATAGGGTGTGTGTCTATGTGTCTTTGTGTGTGTCTCTGTGTGAAATGACTTAAAATATGCTACAAAAGGTCCATTGAAATTATTATTTTGGAAAAGCATGACTCCCTTGCCTTTCTAGGGTGGTATTTGAGTGTTCAGGTGAAGATATAAGTGACAAAATTGTATTGCATCAGTTTTATGCAGACAGCTGTAGCCCATGTGTGCAAGAATGGAGGCGCATTGATGTGAAGACCATACACACTGACTGCACGCAGCCCTGATATAATCTTGTCCAATATGTCCGATCAGCTTCGATATAGAAATTCACAAGTACATGACAATTGTTCATTTCTGTGAAGGAAATGGTTCAGAATTACTCATTGTTAACTTGCTTGTTCTGGTTAAAAGATAATGTTTATGAGACTGTTGTAACTTTCACTTACTGTAGAACAAAATTTTATATGTTTAAACTTGAGTTCCAGAATTTAAGGGTTCTTAAAACTTGGTTCCGTACTACTTTGCTTTTCTGTGGGTTTCAGAGGACCAGAATCCCTTTAAGAATGGTTCTCGTTGCATTGAAAATAACTTGTTTTTTTCCTTATAATTTTCACTTCTGCATAATTCTGAATTATAGCTCTTACAAGCGGTAAATCTGTGTTCTCACAAGCACACAGCTGGTTTTCAAGTCAGATGATAAAAACCTGTGATAGGAATTCCTTGCAGATTTCATTGCTGGGTTGGCATTTGTATTATGGAGTCAAAGCCCAGCCATAAACCTCCCTCACTCTTTGTTTGCATTTGTTGTAGTCTCAGGGAGGTTATTTACCTCAGCACTCAGCCACTTCCTCCTTCCTTCATTGCATTGGCACAGAACCGACTCAAATTATTCTGACCGAGACCATTCCCAGTGACCTTTATAAATGATGTTTGGGGTTTTCTATTTCTGAGGAGCCAAGTCAGCATTTTAAAAGGTCCTGATAGATATAACTCAGTCTGCTAGACAAGACCTGGGGCCACTTGGTCCAGGGTAATTATACCTCTTCTCAGCATAGGTCCACCCCAGACCTGACTGGAACTGTTCTCTGGAGAGATGAAGCGGCGCAGTGCTTGCCAGTCTGCCTTTACCTTAACATTAGGCTGCTTTTATAAGCTAATTCTAAACAGCTGTCTGGAAAGTGCCACGTCATCTATGCAATTGATCAAACAACTGTACCAGAGCAGCTCATAGAGATAGTGCTACATAGGAGGTATATGATCTGTGCCCGTTTCCTTAAGCTTATAGTCTAATTAAGCGAATAAGGTTTTCATTTGTAAAAGCTGATGGCACAGCATAATTAGTAATGGAAAGCAAAACAAATAATTGGAATATCAACCATGGGTAATCCTTGTGATATTTTTAAAGTATTCTGTCCAGTTGTTTGGCAGTCAGTGGAAGAGTCTAAGAGCTACCATGTTTTTCATTTTTAGCACTAAAATCTTATAAAATAAAACAAAAACATCCATATTAGACAGTATGTACAGATTTGGGGTTTAAAAAGTCTAGTTACCAGAGCAAGAGTGAACTAGAAGGGAGGGGGTTGGATAGTATAGATTTAAGATTAGGAAACCCATGGTGCTCACCAGTACAAAAACTCCAATATTTAGACCAGTAGTCTAAAGGATAGACTGTTAGGACAAAGTTGATGGTATCTTCCTATAAGGAAAATAGCGTGAATATGAGAGCTCACTACAATTACTCAGTGTTCTCAAACCAAGGGGTGGGAATTATTGTTTAAGCCAGAACAAGATGGAAATGGTGTAGTGAGAAACGAAGGGTAACAACACAGAGGCTCGTTCAAAGATTACACATCAGAGTCTTTCCAAGCCAAATGACTCCAGGATCCTAAAATAGAGACATAATTAAGCAATAAGATGTGACAGGAATAACATTTCTGTGATTGTAGCATGCCTCAAGGGACAAGTCACTAGGCCAAAGGTTCATATAAGGAGTGGAATAATATCCTGTGAGGTATAGTGCACTACCATTACGAGAAGACGGAAGTGAATAATTGGAGTTAGAAAAGGCATTTCATGAGCTATTACTTCACTCATTGGGTAACACTGCCATGTGTACAGTACATGTGGCCATTCGTTTCATCCAGCTTTGTGAAACTGTATTTGCACCAGAGCCTTCACTTAATTAAAAACTCTACAGAACTTGGCACTCTCTTATTTAGCCAAGCAAAAAACAAGCAATTCAGACAGAAACTTACAAATCTAAACATGTATATGGAACTACAGGCTGTTAGGATTAGTTGTTCAGACCTGGATTTTATAACTGAAGCAAAAACAAGCCGAAGCAACCACATTGAGTCATTTTCCATGTTGGCTTTTTTACCTCGTGTACTTCCCTCACTCACAGACATGGCCTCAGTACCACTTAGAGTCTATCCACAAACATCTTGAGCCTTTTAGTCTAAACTTTCCCTTCCCTACCACTGCTGTTCATAGAAGAGAGGAAAGTCCTAGGATCTAGTATCCGACTAAACTCCATTCTGTTGCGGACAGATCTTTAACCAAGGAAACAGGTGAGATACACAGCAGCCATAAGGCAGAGTTAGAAATACCCAATTGAAAGAAGCCATGGGATGGAAGCAGGTGTTATTGCTGGATTCTTGCCCCAGATACTCTTGAGTCTCACTTCAGAAGGTAGTTAAAGTCTGGATGAAATTGTTTTATTTGTGCCTTAATGTCTTCTATGGCATAGGATAAGGCTATGTCCTAGAAAGAAATCAGGGCTTCTTTTGGCACAGCCCTTTGTCAGGTGTTCTGTTTTCTCTCTTAAAACCTGCATGTAGGGAGGGACTGGAGAGCTGGCTCCATGGTTAAGAGCACTGAATGCTCTTGCAGAGGATCTGGGTTCAATTCCCAGCACCCACATGGTGGCTAACAGCTATCCATAACTCCAGTTCCAGGGGAATCAGGTGCTCTCTTCTGACCTCCACAAGCATTGCACTACACAGGTGCACTTGCACACATGCAGACAATACACTCATACAAGAAATATACAGTTTTTTAAAAAGTTGCAGGTAGGAAAAGATCTGAAGGTAGTGTAAAGAAATTCAAACTTCGTAAGACTATAGTAATTAAAAAAAAAAATGTAGTTTTTGAGACATGTTTCACTATATAGACCTGGCTGGCCTAAAACTTGCAATGTGACCTAGAGCTTGTAGCAGTGCACCTGCTTTAGACTTCCGATGGCTGAGATAACACACATGTGCCACTTAATCTATGGAATTAACTGACAGTAGAGGGGTGGACAAAAAAATACATACAAAATGTATTAGCATGTAGAAGCACAGGAGACATCTGCAGTATGGTACCCAAAAGAACAGGTAGTGGATGACTGAATGCTTTGTAGGGAAGGAGGGAGTAGTGTGTGGGATTTAGAGTGGTAATAGATTATTTTTCAGTAAGATAAGTGGGCCTAGAAGACCAGTCAAGATTCTTTTGGACTCTGTAATGAGGTTGACGGTGAATTTAAGAGCACTAGCAGCATTTGTATCCCTCTTTTGGTTGGATTTGGTCATACAGAGAAGAAAAAAACTTCTGGGGATAGACACAAGAAATTGACTCTCGGGCAACTTGTAGAGTCTCTGAGGATGTCAAAACACCCATCTTTGGGATAGCATTTTAGGAATTATTCAGGTCTTAAACTCTTGAATCAGTAGGTAACTTCATCCATGAGTATCAGAAGTAGTCAGTACACGTAGGAAAGATTTGTAGGTCTGCTACTCAAAGGAAGCTGAGCTACTTTCCCAAAATTGCAGTCTTCAATATGTGCTATGGTCTGGTTCTTAAGGTTGTCTGCTTGCTTGTTTTTGAGCCAGGATCTGACTAGGTATTCTAGGCTTTCCTTCAATCAAGGGATCTGATGCTGCTTCTCTGAGTACTGAGATTATAGTTATGTGTTGTCATGCCCAGCCTCATCCTGGTTCTTATCTGTCCATGCTAGCATCCTGTAAGCTATATATGGGGACCACTGGTACACAATTCGTATGAATACTGTTTATCATACCCTACCAAACCATGGGACTTCTCCAGCTCTTAGCTGCCTAGATATTTGTCCAAGGGTCACAGAGAATTTTAGGCTCACCTCAACTGACCTCTTGGGACCATGAGAATTATCTAAGATAACCTTAGTCTTTTCCAGTCTGCATGTGCCGGGCAACCTCTTTGTTACAATGCTAGGTATAAGGATTTCAGGATTGCCATCTTCTGGACTCCAAAAATAAAGCATAGGTCTTAGGACTTGAAAATCCCACACTCTCATCAAAGGTTTACCAGCGGAAGGAGTAGAAGAGTAGAGATCCTTCTCAGTGACTGCAGGACTTCTAGCCCTATCTTTGCCTTAGAATTGCCTCTTGTATCCCAGCCAGGGGAATTTTTATCTGACGTGGGCAGGAAAAAAAAATTGGCTCAAATGGATCAAATATTCTTCCAAATCTTTTTTGTCTAAAGCCTAAAGCTGAGCTTTTTAAACTCCAAAGCCAAGAATTTGTCTCTTTTGTTCTCTGGTTCTGCTGTGACAACCCTCCCTTGAGGCAAGGAATGACTCATGGTCTAGCTGCCCAGATGGGGGAGGGTCAAAGGTAACAGGAAATCATAGAAAAAAAACACATTGGTTAATGCGTCAAAATATTAGCCTGCTACATTAAGATTTCTATTCTCTTTCCCATTCTTAGGTAAATGGAAATGACCGCATTGCATTTGTGCATTAGATAGGTTTCTTTGGAAGTAAGTAATAGAGATCAACTTATTTCTGTTTGCCCTCTCCCCCAGAGAAAATGAAATGCAGGTGCTAGACGGGAAGGGAAGGACTGGAGTCCCAGACAGATTCCTGCCTAGGAAAACACCAAACATGAGAGTTGTTGCGAAAGCCTTGCTCTCTCTGGTCTCCATTCTTCTGCAAATGTTGACTTTGCATACACTCTTTCTGGCTTTCACTTCTCTATGGGAAGGCCTAAATTGTAGTCCTTTCAT